ATAAATTACTATATCGATACCATAGAATTCCACTATAATTTATCAAGCTTGGTAACTAAGCTGTATTTTGGTCTGAAAAAAATATGAAATTTCGAGTAGACTAAAGACACAACCTACTTTCTTGAAATCTTGGTTCGAAAGAATGAGATGTCATCCTAACACTTTAAAATAGCTGATAAAACCACGAAGGGGACATTCTGAGCTTTTGATTGGTTATTCACATGTCATATATTTAATTATGTATAAGGGATTGTTTCCAAAAATGGAAAGAGATGAGCGTGGCCACTGTATTTCATTCAGTACATGAGTGATATCTCAACAAATAGAAAAGATAGGAGGTTCTTATTTTACATTCTAGCTTGTCAATATCGGTAATTTGAGTTCCTAATTTAAGAAATTAAATAATGTTAAAATTTGAATTATAATATAGTTTGATACCAAACTTATGGACATAAATTTATAAAATAGTAGTTCAATAAAATTGTTAATGCAAATCAACAAAAGTGATGACATGGCCTTTGACCCGTATGGAAAGAGTTAAAAGATTAGTGCAATTATACATAGTAATTTTTCCTTATAATTTGTTAAAGTAAAGAAAAAAAATGGAGTAATATTTAATGAGGGTTAAAGTAAAATTTCCAAGTATTTTTTTATTTGATACAATCATTAGCTATTTCTATTTAACAGTAAATCAGGAAAAATGTTTTAAAAACATTACACCAGTTGGAAGTAACAATGTCCAGTCTTGACACAATCGTGTGTTAGGGCATGGCATATAATAAGTAAGATTCTTGATTAGAGAGAACCATTTGCCCACATGACCAACTGAACAATAGTTATTAAATTGAAATAAACTAGTATCAGATGCTCAGCCAATAGAAATGCGTAGAAATGAATGATTAAACTTAAGTCTAATAAAACTCAATTTGTAATCTTTTAGGAATTAGAATTTTAAGAAAAAATATTTATTTGAAAGAAAATACAGTTACTAAATTGTTTAATTAAGAAATTCATAAAAATTCATTTACAAACCTAGATATACTCTACATCTGTAACTTAATTGTAATGATTATATCAAAAACCTTATTTAAAAAGTTGAGACAGATGCAATATTCACGGAAAAATTACTTTAATAAAATATACTGATTGCTTTATTTATTTGTGCTATGTTTTAATAAAATTTCTCTTCTATTTCTAAATATGGCATTAGAATTTTATCCACTATGTCAATTTATGTACTTCTTCAAAATTCAGTAAGCTCTTCTTTATAATTGTAATTACTTTTAAAATAACAAATTATTTCAAGTAACTTGTTTGTTTATGATTAGTAAAATTAGCAGAAATGCCATCCTATGGGTGGCTGTTTGTGCTAGTAATTACTAATTGCAGTATTCATACGTCATTGAAAAAATTTAGAAAAATTTAAACTTTTTCTAAAAAAAAGATTTTTTTCTTGGAACTAATGCACAGGAAAAGTGTTAAGTTTGTGCTCTTTAGTCATATGCAACTCATTGCATCAAAATAATTCAATGTACAGAACTCAAAATTTTCATCAATTTTACTGATATAAACTGTAATGTTTTATTGTATTAAAAGTAGTACCATTTATTGAAAAAAAATATTTTTTTAAGAACTCCACTTTCTCATTACTACATTTAAAAATTACATCAGTAAAGATATAATCAAACTCTCATGTACAGTCCTAGTGAAAGTTGTGTTCTTGTTTTGAGGAGAATACTTTTACTTAAAATTGTGTTTCTATTATAAAGAAATGGTTGTTATACATACTACAGTTATTTTTCTAATTGCCTGAACCTTGAATACCCAAAGTGTGAACTTTTTTTCTATGGATTTTTTTTTATGGTGCCACATTGTATTAATTATTTCGGTCACTTACATAGATAGATACGTATATACGCACTACGTCCATTATAGTAAGACTTTCAGAGCTTTCTGCTCATCCACAATAGCTTTTTTCTTTTGACTAGGAAAGCACATTTATTAAGACTTTAATATGAAGTGGTACTTCTGTGAGAAGATACTGACTGAATGATAACACATAAACTGTGAGAAGATACTGACTGAATAATAACACATAAACTGTGAGAAGATACTGACTGAATAATAACACATAAACTGTGAGAAGATACTGACTGAATGATAACACATAAGCTGTGAGAATATTACTCACAGCCAACTAAATTAATAGAAGAATTAATCCAACACTTAGTTGAAGTGTTTTTGATCCATGCTTAAGTAACTTCAGCTAATAGAGTTCATGAAACTGATATAATTGTTTTTACTCACGTATCTTTTTTTGTATTTAATTAGTAAAATTAATACACCGTTTAAACCTCAATTATTTATTATGGGAAAACAAAGATATTTTGCTACATATTTTGGGCATATTTGTTTGGACTATCATCAGGGATTTTGCAATAAGTGTTAAGTTACCCAATCATGGATTTACAAACTACATGCTCCTGTCTTTATATGATCTTTTACTTAATATAGTTTCAGTGATTGAGAGACAAGTATTTATTTGTGTATTCAACCTATCTGAAATCATAGTGTCAGCAGATTAATCACTTACTGAGATATCTCAATATTAACTAATGTTTTACCAAAGCAGTGTATGGTCTGAGTTCTGCTACTCATAGAATGCTTAAAGGAACTGTTTATCAATTGGAAGGATCTTAGCTTGGCAGAAGGTACTGCGACCTTTGACAAATAACAGGAAGTATAAATATACTGACATATGTTACAGTACTGGCCTTAAAGAATTTATTAAACTAGTCACCACATAATATCTTCCTACAGTTTCTAATTATGATTAATTTTGACTATTTGATTTTATTCCTTTTGTATAGCACCAATTATAAACGAAAAGGATTTTTCAGAAACACACTATGACAAAAGAACAAACATTCTGCTAGTCAAGTTTAATGAAGTAACTTATCAAGAAATAACATTGATAGTTTGTAAGGTTTATGTTTGGAAAATCTTTTTTTTTTTATTTGATAATACAAACTTCTCCATGTTCTGTTGTTGTGTTGATTGGCTTCACAACTATGGCAGATTAATACCAGCAACCATTAGTAAATAATTTTAGATGTACAGTTAAGATTATGCATTGAATTTCTTTTGGTAAGCTACTGATTTGAAATGGGTTCAGCAGTGTTATATGAGCCAGTGTTGATAAATTTTTAATGCTGCTCACAAGAATACTTGTGTAATTCTGGAAATCATTCTCAACTCTTCAAAGTTATGTATAATGTTTAGAACTAGTGCAGCTTTGCTGTCATAAGTATATGTATGGAGAATATATTATTTCTCCATGATTTTATGTTGTATTTAATAACCCAACCATAATTCGCAGTTGTAGTTATTCATATTTCAGTATTTATTGTAATTTGCACACTCTAAAAAAAAATGAAATCATGATCCTATACCTTTCAATTGCTCTATAGATCTTAAGCTCTGCTACATAATTGAGCACAGACAGACAAATAGCAGTTATCTTTCTCACCAACTTGTAAAAGGTATGTTGGATTGACACTTTTCTGTCAAATATTTGTATAATTTAATGATAACTAGCTGACATACCAATTCAATGCATAGGGAACACAGTGGAGTCAGATTCCCCCCCCCATGAGGCCCTAAGAGTATGTGCCAGTTTTAGTAACAATCAGTCCAGCAGTTCACCATTTATAGATGGTCTAAATAAAGATTGCTATTTTCCAGCAAACCAAAAGAAGGCCCAAGAAAATGGTATGTAATAATTAATCTGTAAAAGTGTTTCATTTCTCTCATCATTAAACTAAGAAGTCAAAAAGTGACACATGTGACAGTTACATGCTGCAATGGTTAAAGTACAAACACTTGTGCTTCAATCATAATAAGTCAGCTCAGACAATGGTATATGACAGTTTTACACTGCAGTGGTTAAAATATAAACACTTTTGCTTCAATCATAATAAGTCAGCTCAGACAATGGTATCATATGACAGTTATACACTGCAATGGTTAAAATACAAACACTTGTGCTTCAATCATAATAAGTCAGCTCAGACAATGGTATATGACAGTTTTACACTGCAGTGGTTAAAATATAAACACTTTTGCTTCAATCATAATAAGTCAACTCAGACAATGGTATCATATGACAGTTATACATTGCAATGGTTAAAATATAAACACTTTTGCTTCAATCATAATAAGTCAGCTCAGACAATGGTATATGACAGTTTTACACTGCAATAGTTAAAATATAAACACTTTTGCTTCAATCATAATAAGTCAGCTCAGACAATGGTATCATATGACAGTTATACACTGCAATGGTTAAAGTATAAACACTTGTGCTTCAATCATAATAAGCAAGCTCAGACAGTGGTATCTTGAGATGCATAAGGATTGGAAAAATCTGAAAGCCTTGGTTAGTTGGAAGGAAACAAAAGTCAAGAGGTGGTAAGTTGAATACCTGTACACTTGGATTGGTGTCAGTAAAGGACAGTGAAGACAAGTGTCAGCAGGTGACAACTAAAGTATCTTTACATACTAGAATTGATGTTAGTGTGGGAAATTCAAACAACATGAATGCTAACTCGTAATAACTTGAGTATATTTATAGCATGATTGATGTAAATAGGGTTGATTTAAAACATGAAAGCAGCAGGAAATAGCCTTATTTGTGCAAAATATTACTTAAATTTTGTGTATTTTAGAACTATGTTTTATCTATGCTAAAGTGTGTTTAATAGGTATAGTAGTGTAAGGTATTGCTTACATTAAAAAAAATAATAATAATACCCAGTCAACTTATTTAAAGAGGTTTGTAATTTTGGTGAATCTTTATATACAGAGGTACAGTTTCTACTGCTACACCTGCTACTACAATGAACTTCAGGCAATTAGAAGAATCCATCAATAAATGGACGTTGGAACTTGAAGAACTTGAAAGAACATTTCTTAACCAAGCTACCCAAGTTAATGCATGGGATCGTTTACTTATTTCAAATGGTCAGAAGGTTAGCAGTTAGTGACTTGAAGTTAATAGTATTCTTATTATTGTGAACAGTCACGTCTTAGTGTTTTTTTCTGACAACATTTACAATGTAACATCTTGAAGTACCTTGTATACAGTGATGTACGACACTGTTATCCTTTTAATGTTTTATAATGATATTCTAAAGTACCATCTGTTTATTAACTATTCAACTGCATGTCATTAGAAACACTGATTATATTCTCCACTATATTAATACTTGACATTGTTACTGTATGGATGATTGGTGCTGCTAAAGGCTGAGAATCAATAAAGATTGAAGCTTTTTAGCTAATCTTTAAACATTAAAAACTCATAACATTTATTTTGTAGTGATAATTGTAATGGTTTCAACTTCATAAAGAAAAGCTTTTGACTTTTCACATTATAAACTCAGGTTCTGATAAAACATTTTGATATTTCAACAGATAACTGCTTTGAATGAAGCAGTGGAAAAGGTAAAGCTGGATCAACAGAGGTTGGACCACGAGTTAGATTTTATTGTAGCCCAACAGAGAGAATTAGAAGAGTTGTTGGTGCCACTTGAGAAAAGTGTAGAGTCAGCCCCACATCTCTCAGTTCAACAGCATGCAGACCTGGAAAGAGAACACACGTGAGTAGTAGATGTATCTGTTCAGCTGTTTTTTGCAATAGAAAATTAAAGTGTTACAGTAGTGTTCTTCATATAATACTCCTATCTTTGATGATTTTACCAAGGCTGCCAGAATCTGGCTTCATGCTATAAACAGAAGGAACAGTTAGAAACAATGAGTCATTTCTAGTTGGAATTATAGTAGACTTTTAAAGAGCAAAATGCTGTCTGTTTTTTTATATTCTATAAATTCCATGCTTTCACTGACTGATTTCTCTGTGTCTTAGATCTAGTACTCTTATGATCATCAATAACTGGATGATTGATAGTCAGATATATACAAGCTACAACTTGCTTCATCAAGGATGCAACATTTTCCACAGTGTTCAGGAATGATTGTGGTCTGAGTTTACTGAGAAATCTTTGTTTTGATTGGAGGAGAAATGGATTCTCTATATATCTTTATTGTTTCATCCGTGATTGGTTTAATGAAACTGTCAGTGAAAAAAAATCAATCATGAAGTATTTTATTTTTTCTATTGGTATTTCTAATAAAGTATTGTTTCCCCGAAAGGGATCCGAAAGCTGCATAGAGGGGTCACTTGATTTAATCACTCACACCAGTATACAGTAGTGTGTTGTCTGTCTGTCAGTCAGTAGCCACTAAAATGGCATCACATAAGGGACACTTAACATTGCAATTTGTACTGTCATGATGTCAGCAAAACTAGTGCATGCCATGAATCACAAGAAGAATTATGCACTCTATAGGCTACAGCACAGCATGACATATGAACTTCAAAAGCAAGAAATAAAAATATTTGTTACTCTGAATTTTGGTTTTATTTACTCTTGAAACAGAACACTTTCAAGGACCCTTCAGAAGTACATCTAGTTTGTTTATATGTATATATATATACATGTGTGTGTGTGTGCTTCAAGTCATTTTTAATAATACAGAAACAGAAACTTATGTGCAGTTAACATAATTTTATTGTTAAATGTATATATACACGTATATGTCTGGGTCAAAACCTAAACATATGATTGTTGTCACTACATGTGAATTGGTATGAAAGTGAGGCTTAAGCATACACATTTATTTTTCAATGAAAGCAGAGCTCTTGTATCAGAATAAAGGTTAGATCTTTATAAAGAACAGTTTAAGTTCTTGCACATGTCTTTATCCTCTGTGATTTCAGATTTTTCCCTCACCTCATCAGCCATGCATAGTTTGTTCTTGTGTATTTTTTTCATAGTGAAATGTCCTAGCAGTAGTGACATATATTTCTGCTAATTAACACTACATTCTATCTGTTTGCTTCACTTTTGTTTGAGGAAAGTCAAAAAAAATGTTTATATGTTTGTCATATTTACTTAACGTGTCCATTTTGTTTTTTGTTTATGTAATTTTATATTTTCTGGTTTTATTAACAAAGCATCTTCAGCATTTTGAATACCACATACCATATGGTACTGTAAAAACTTAATTTTTAGTCTTTGATATCAGTGGTTTTAACTTTAGATAAAAACCAATAGACTTGTGTTGTTTCATAGATATCATCTAGCTGAAAACATTGATGGTCAGCTAAAGAGAATGGCTGAGGATATTAAAGAAATAATTGAACGACTAAACACTTCCAGTAAAAGCCAGGAAGAAGTTGATCCTGTAAGTAGTTTTTGATACATTTTAATTGAAAAATAAATGTCGTGAATAAACTTGATCTCCAGTGTTTTTAGTGCTTCAGTAGGTGAATGTACAGAAATTTGAAATGTTCAGTTGTTCAACATAATTTATGTTTAAGCTGTAAATTAAGAACCAGTTTATGTAACACATTTATTAAACTTACTAATGATTGGATTCCTGAGCAGGTTTTGTGTCTGTTAAGAAATTCAACACTTTAGGTAATTTATAATTTACTTTTTATTATTTTTGTTGTTTTTTTCTGAATCATTCTTCTCAACTTTCAATGTTGTTGTTAAATTTTGAAAAGTGTATGAAAAATAATTATAGTTATAAAGATAAGACTTACTAAAAAAAGTTGACTACTGAATAAATACAAGAAGTTTGCTTTGTAAATCTTTATCTTTGGTTTTAGATGCAACAGATGTCAAAGATTCTCAGTGTTCATATGGATGCCCTACAATGGATTGAACAGAACTCAGGTAATCAAATATTATCTCTATCACTGACTGGACCTAATTTATAATGTGGTTAAATTTAAAGATCTGTCTGTCTGATGTATGTAATGAATATTGCAAAGCAATAAGACAGTCCAATACAGCATACCGATAAGAATTTTAGTACCAATACACTGTATTGGTAAATAATTTCGTCAAAGCCATTTTATGTTAAACTTGTCAAAACACTTTTTATCAATATTGTTAGGTGTTATGTTTATTATTATAAAACACACTGTGCTTAAAGCTGTACTTCTAGTCAGGAGGGATGCACATACATGATTTAGGTCCTATTTTTGATTCCATTTCAACCTGAAAAATGTTTTCAAATCAAACTTAAATGGACTAATTTTTTTTCTACTGACTGTAGTACCTGATAGTATTAACTATGTATATTCAAATATTAAAACTTCGGTCCAAGTAAATTAGCAGTGTTGATTTGTATAAAATGTGTGTGTGGGTGAAACAATACTTCTATACTGGTAAGAAATTAAAGTTACTTTCACCACTATTGTTTAAGTAAGGTTGTTTAAATCATGTTTGTTTTCTCTAGAAGCTGTTATTTTTGAGTAACACAACTTTTGTAAGTTTGATAATTAAACTCACACCACTAATACCTACAGATTTAATTTAATAAGTTTTTGATATTCTGGTTCCAGGAATTGTTCAAAGAAAGATTGAAGAAATTGGAAAAATCTCTGAAATCGAAAGAAGAGATCAAGATAAGACCTTCAGGATGTAAGACTGATGATGAGAACAATACCCCCAAGTTCTTTGAAATAATGCTTTTTTTATATTTTAAATGTTTCTGCTAATTTTCATTGTGTTCTTACAGCATTAGTTATACCTTATAAATCATGATTTCAAAAATATAACAAAAGAACATTGTCACCCATTATTTTTCATTCTTCTAATAAAAATAAAAGCTCTATATATTTTTGGTTTTATTAATCTGAGACTTGGCAGTGAACAGTCCTTTTCATCCATTCCATGAAACACAGTATCAAAATATCTCAAATATTTTGACATGGAACTATCCATTATATACATCATTCAAGTAATATCTTGTAATCTGTATTACAATATACTTTCTTTTCCTGGTGATAAAAAGTTTGAAGAATGTGTATGTATTACTTTTAAAAATAAACTTCAAAATACTTTTTGAACTAATGATATTATGACCTTCATTCTAGTGTGGTACTTGTGGTTAAATATTTTTTAAAGAACAATTATAATATTCATAGAGAACATTCTAACTTTTAGTAAATTGTCAGTATTGTGGAGATCAATAATGTCTTAGTCAGAAAGTTGTTTGTATTATAGAGATCAGTAATGTTTTAATTAGAAAGTTGTCAGTATTGTTGAGATCAGTAATGTTGTAGTTAGAAAGATGTCAATATTGTGGAGATCGGTAATGTCTTGGTCAGAAAGTTGTCAGTGTTATGGAGATCCAAATTGCTAGAGTCAGAAAGTTTTCAGTATTGTTGAGATCAGTAATGTTCTAGTCAGAAGACTCAGTATTGTTCTAGTCAGAAGACTCAGTATTGTTGAGATCAGTAATGTTCTAGTCTGGAAGTTGTCAGTATTATGGAGATCAATAATGTTCTACTCAAAAGTGGACAGTCTTGTGAAGATAGCAATGTTTTAATTAGAAAGTTGTCACTATTGTGTAGATAGTAATGTTCTTGATAGGAAGTTGTCAGTATTGTAGAGAAGTAATGTCATACAGAATGTCTTGTCTTGCTCAGTAACTTAGGACTCCATTTTCAAGGTGCATATTTTAAATTAAGATTTATAGATTGCTGAAGTTTCAATATTTTTTTTCAGAGTAATTGTTGTGCATTTGAATCTTAAATCTAAAGAAACTTTTGGAAGCTTGGATTAAAAGCACTTTCCTATTCACTGATGCCCTCAGAAACTCGTATGCAAACAAATGACTAAGCTTATAATGGAGTTAACCATTGTAAAATGATGTATAAAGAAAATTAAACTGCATTGCTAAAGATGTGTTTGATTTCCATGATCCATGTGGTGGTATATTAATTTATGATACACATTGAAGGATTTAGTTATAGAGCTTAAAAAGTACAAAATATAAATCATAAAGTGTTTTATAATGATAAAGTAAGTATTTTTAAGGAGATCTGTAGTTCTGAACTTATGTAAAATATATAAGAGCTTCTGTAAAAGTATGAAAAACAAACACCAGAAAAGTTATGAATGATTAGGAAACTCCCAAAATGGAGTACCTAAACAAAGAGCCAATAAATCAATAGGATGGCTTTCCATACGGTATTAGAGATAGCAAATGTGAAAAGAAAGCTAAAAGAGTCGGGTGTTTACGCTATGGAAGAAAAGAACATGTGAGATCTGAATAAAATAATTCAAAAACAAACTAGGGTAGATAGGCAGGCTATCATTAATGAAAATGCAAGCAGTTAGATGAAAGTAGTCTTAATAACAAATTAAAGTACTTCTTTAGAATTGTAAACAACCTGAAAAAAGAAAGGTTTCACCAAGACTAAATGTAGTTAAAGATCATGATGTAATGGAAGGAGAAGACAACAAAAGGCAGAGTATTGTGAGAATTTGTACTTTAAGTGAGAAGAAAAGTTCTACTGAGTTAATAAAAGCAAGTAGGGAAGAAAGCGTACAGTCATTACATAGACTCTGAAACAAGGTTTTGAAAAGGAAAGAAAGAGTGGTTTACTGACTGAAAGACAGTAGTTTTTATTATAATTATGAAGAAAGGCAACAAAAACGAATGTTGGAACAATAGAACTGGTATTACATTCAAGTAAGTTTCTTTTACATGTATTGATGAGAGGATATGACAAGCTATGGACAAAGAGAACAAGCAAGATTTGAGAAAGGAGAGACCCAAGAGCAGATCTGGGCAATTAGTGGAACTCACTAATCAGTCATCAGGCTCATTAATCAAGTAATGAGAAATCACAATAGCAATATTTTGATGTCTTGGATAGTTGGAATAATCAGAAACACTAATTTTGATTAATTCATTATTTTACGTGACTAATCAAATTAATTGCCCAACTCTACCCAAGAGATTTCAAGCATCAGACAGATATTCAAGAAAGTGAGAGAAGTTGACCAAGATTTTTGTTTCATGAAATACTCCAAAACTTGACTGTGTACATGGCAGATTATGGTGTATACTTGATGATATAGGATTTCTAATACAAATAATAGACCTAAGGTGATCCTAATACAGTAACCAGAAATCAGTGATTAGCACTGAAAATGAAGACATTGTCTGGTTTAAGATTAATCTTTGTAGAAAGTATCATGTAAGGTGCACTAGAACCCAGAGAGAGGTATTTATATCAGTGGGAATAAAAACCAACATTTTGCGTTATGTGGACCATCACCAATTTTAAACATTATTAGCTTCAGGTGTTTAGGCCTACAGTCTTTCGAGCACAATTCTTTCGGAATACTCTATCTAAACAATCTATCAAGGAAAGTCAGTAGTTCGTTAATGATTACACTGAATATTACGTTAATAAATGTTCAGGCTTACATAACTTACTATATAGCTTTTGAATAAAGATGTAGATCTTTGTAATGTGGCGTGAGTTCATGTATATATATTTTAATAACCAAATATCGCGCATTTTTACAATGTACAATCGTGATAAAAGTTCAGTTTGTAATGCAACAATGTTTAAATCACGTCACACTTTCTGTACACCACAACTAAATAGTTATTGTTCTTTTATACTGTGTACCTAAATCTAAGTAAAGATTCGTTTGAGTTTGCTTATGTATGATAAGAATGTTTTACACGTTACAGCATATAATATACACAATTTGCAGTTGAAAATGAAAATAACTACCCAATGATATTTTAAAATCATACGAATTCTCCAAGGCTTCACAATTAAAATTCATAGAAAACATACAGAGGAAATTACATAAACTGGTTTTCTAATCATGTAATCCACCAGAAACTTGAACATTCTAAAAACCTCCTAAATTTAGCGTACACTAAATGCACCACAGAAAAACACTTGATGAAGAAGTTACTCATTTAACCCAATGTATTACTAACGTAAATGAATTCCCTATCACAGTACTAACACATCTGTTAACGAATTAAAAAGAAACAAACCTACAAAACGAAAGAAACCTGATCGTTAGTATTACCCCCCATATAAAAGACATTAAAATACCTCTAACAGAAGTGTGGAAAATATTAGCACATGCATATAACCTGGACAAAACAACAGAATTAATTTTCACCTCTGGAATGGAAATTAAACACATGTTAAGAAACTAATTTAACGAGCCTACACCGCCAGGAAATATTTGCAAAATATGTGTGAAACAAGATGTAATCGAGCATCAGGTTTAAAATAACACCAAAACCATCTTTCCCACGTCCATTATCACACGAACAAAAACAACCACAGTTTTTCTGAATAGAATGTCATGATACTAAAACATGAACTTGGCATTAAAAAAGGAAAAATCAGAAAAGCCTTATTAATAGAATAAAACAATCCTACGATATAGTATGTATTCATGCTCAACTCTATATGTTTTTGATCGTTATCTTTACAGACACTCCTAATCTTATCCAAATATTTTGCACAATTAAATCTGTCAGTTCACACGTATTGATATGTGCATACATTAGTAACCAGTATCGATTTTCTAATTTAAATGCATTGTTTTATTGTTGAATGCAGATTTAAATACAAAACCTTCTTTACCGTTACGATCTGTGTACTTGAGAATGATCGTACTGGTGATTGGAATGGCGTCGTACCTGTCTAAAAAAATATTCTTCTTTACTGTAAATGCTGAAACTTGATCAAATCATGTCCAAGTGGTTAGGGCGCTCGACTCGCAATCTGCGGGTCAAGGGTTCGAATCCCCGTCACACCTTTCAGCAGTGGGAGCGTTATAACATTATAGTCAATCTCATTATTCGTTGGTAAAAGAGTTGGCAGTGGGTGGTGATGACTAGCTGCCTTCCCTCTAGTCTTACACTGCTAAATTATGGACGGTTAGCGCACATAGCCCTCGTGTAGCTTTGCGCGAAATTCAAAAACAAAAGCAATTTGTGCTAAGAAAAGTTACCAAGAAATGACAAAACCATAGAGATCTCTGACTTGACCGTAACTCGTATAGCATAGGACCGTCCATGTTGAGACTATTAATTAACAACAGTAATTACGCGTGAAGCAAAATAAAGATTACTACTAATAATGTTTTATATCCTTTACACGCGTATGATCTTTTCTGATTGTGTAATTACGTTTACAACACGAACTTGCCATTTCATTCAGTAGACAATGTATCTAACTAAACAGAAGTAAATAGCAAACTTCATAATTATTGATAAACTTCGTAGAAAATTATATTTTGTTGTGTGTGTGCTTTAATACACTGCATTAAAATAAACAGTGGTAAATAATGTATTTTAGAATGTTAATGTGAGTTAAAGGTTTGGTTTTTATAAGTGTTGCACTAACATCTTCGTTTGTCTTCTTTGATGTCGTAAGACTTGTCATCTTCATCAAAAATTTAATCTTCATTGTACAAGTAGTCGCAACTCAGTTTCGAGAAATCCTAAGATAATTCGTTTACCCATCTCGACGTCCTCTTCTTAATTCGTTCTATATGTAATTTTAGTTTAACAACTGTTTTCAGTTCTGCCATCACTATGACAAAGAGGGAGAATGAGTTACGGTTGAAGTACACTCCGTTGGCGTCCGTATGTAAGTACAATATCAGTATATACAGAATGGAGCAAAAATTACTGTACAGTTGATACTGAAGAAATTATTACGAAAACAGTTGAAGCCAATGAAATTATTGTTTGTTTCAAAGTAATAATTAGAAATAAAACTATGTTCTAAACCAATACAAAAAGTGTGAATTCGCTTTTGCCCCACTCTGTGTGATGGTTTCGCTAGTTAAATTACAAATATTTAGAGCGATGTATAGGATCCCGACCAAATGACAAGCTAGAGAAATTAAGAGGTGGGGTTCTACACAGGCCTAGATTGTGTTTGAGAAGTAGTAGATATAAGTTTGGATAAAACTCATTTGCTGATTAAATACAAACGCCGCCAGGGGTTTCGATAATCAAGCCCAGAATCTTCCCTCGAACTGTGGTAGTCGGGTACACTGATAACGACAAGTTTCCTCAAAGAATGCAGGTTCAGAAAATGTTATGCAGAGAATAAAATGAACATGGACAGTAAAGGAAAACTAGCAAACGCAAGTATACAAATGAAACGGATCTTTATTCACAATAATGTGTTTAACATTAAACTTTAGCTTTCTATTGTGGCTTCACTGGTTACTGTGTCTAGGAGAAGAATTTCCTGATATGTCCACCCAGGACAAGGACAGGAAGAATAACCGCACGTCATCCCGTAATCCATAGGTTACCTACGTCAAAGACTATTCCATGTGGCACATTGAACTGACATCCCACCCACCACCCACAATTTGTACTAGTATATGTAGCACCCCTTGAGAGCAGCATATCCAGCCAGGGAGTAGACACGGGGCCATAGTAGGAAGTTTACAGATTTACAACGGTAAAATCCGGAGCTCGGTTTCTTACTGCGAACAGAGTGTAGATAATCCACCGTGTAGCTCTGCACTGAAAAAATGCAGCAACGAGCATACAATAGTTTGTCTTTAAGCATATCTATTTGGCTTCTTTGCTATTTGCCCCCCCCCCCCCCAGCGGCTCAGCAGTAAAACCTGGGGCTTTTAATGCTAAACAAGAGAAAATCCTCAATAGCCGCGGCACTTGAAATTCTTTTAGGCAGGATTAGAGTAAATTAATCTGAGACCTTTTTCCCCTTTTGGTTTTTTATTACCTATATTTTTGTGCACCAGCAATACCAAGCGTGGGGCACGCGTATATCCGATTCGATTTTATTACTCATCAGGATCTATACCAGCCTACCCTCAAATTGAAATTATTTTAGGCAGGATTAGAGTAAATTAATCCACGAG